GGTTCCATGATCACTGCAGATGGTGACAGCAACCATGAAATTAAAAGACGCCTGCTCCTTGGGAGAAAGGCGATGGCAAACCTAGCCAGCATCTTAAAAAGCAGAGACATCACCTTACCAACAAAGGTCCATATAGTTAAAGCTATGGTTTTCCCAGTAGTGATGTATGGAAGTGAGAGCTGTACCATCAAGAAGGCTGATCGCTGAAGGATTGATGCTTTTGAATTATGGTGTTGGAGGAGACTCTTGAGAGTCCCATGGACAGCAAGAAGATCATACCTATCCATTCTGAAGGAAATCAGCCCTGAGTGCTCACTGGAAGGACAGATCCTGAAGCTGAGGCTCCAGTACTTTGGCCACCTCATGAGAAGAGAAGACTCCCTGGAAAAGACCCTGATGTTGGGAAAGATGGAGGGCACAAGGAGAAGGGGAGGACAGAGGACGAGATGGTTGGACCGTGTTCTCGAAGCTACCAGCATGAGTTTGACCAAGCTGCGGGAGGCAGTGGAAGACAGGAGTGCCTGACGTGCTCTGGTCCATGGGGTCACACGACTAAAGTGCTCTGGTCCATGGGGTCGGACACGACTAAATGACTAAATAACAACAATAGTGGCACCTGGATGCCATGCACTCTGGTTTCAATCCCACCCCACCCCCAGGCTCAAAGAAGACTCAGAAGGAAAGGATGAATCATGTGGGGAGCCATTGTCTGCCCCCCTCCCACTCCAGGAGCTTCCAGGCTAGAAGGCAAAGCTTTGTCAAAATCCTACAATCCAGAAAGCATTTTAACAATCCATTTTAACAATATCAGAGCCAGCTGCTACAGAATCAGGCAATGACCCTTTGAGAAACAACAAGGGCAGGGTTAACATCAGGTCCAGACCAGCTAATCTTTATAAGGCCTATGAGTGGCACTGAGATAACTGTCCTTCGGCGAGTTCCTGGCCAGCATGTGCCAGTGATTTGTTCAGGGTCCTGAAAGGCCAGGGTTTGGGGCCTTCTGTAATCCTGCCTAATCTATCTTGACTTTACCCTAAAAGAGGTGACTCTGCTCCTCAGGACAGAACATTGCCCTTCTAGCAAGTGCCATTGCTTCAACCCAATTTTGCTAGAATTTAAGCTGTGAGTTTGGTGTCTCTGGATGGACTGGAGGGTGTCAAGAATGGCAAATACTCCAAAGCCCAACAAAAAGTGTCCCATTTGATTCAAACACATCACCATGAAATCTAACTGTTCCCCACTGAGACCCAGAGAAGGTCAAGCCTTCAGATCTAACCCTGAAACCTGACAACCCAATTGATGGTATCATACAACCACATTGCTTTTTAGTAATAACAAAAGGAATCCAAACTGGCAGTCTTGATTCACAGTGTAATCCAAACAAGGCCTGAGTGGGTTGCTGCTGTAGTCATTCATACTATCATTCATCCTCTATTTACTCTTAACATACTTGCTATGGCTAACTGCCATGATTGCAACCACTACAGATATGATTTTAGATGCTAGTGGACAGCAACTCCAGCCAGACCAAGCTAATGGCTGGGATAAGTGAAAGTGTAGTCTAACAACATCTGGGGATACACAGTTTCTTCCTACTTGAAATTAGCCTTTGGTCTGATTCCACAGGACTCTTTTTAGCTTTTTCATCTTCATTTAAATTTTCCCTCAGTTTATAACCTACCTGCACATAGAAAACTAAGATATCACAAAGATGACTAAGCTACAATCCTTTCCCTTGATGAGCAAGATGGGAAGTTTTTGAGTTAAGAGAATTGCCCAAGAGTCTAATCTCCCTCCCTACATTCAAAAGTGGGAGGGCTAGCATCTCCAGCTAAGGATCTCAGGAGCAGAGATGGGTTGGGAAAGGCCATTGCCAGAGATCACCAAGGAGCCACTGCAACACAGAACAGAAAGGGAGCATAAGAAGACCTCTACTGGGTTAGAACAAAGGCCCATCTACTCCAACATTCTTTTATGATAACGGCCAAACAGATTCCTCCCGGAAGCGTACAAACAGAACCCAAGTGCAACAACCCCCCTCCCTCATTTGTGTTTCTCATGCTGCCTCCAAAAGTGGAGGAAGAACATAAACCACCATGGCTAGTAGCAACTAATAGCCTTATCCTCCATGAATTTGTTGAATCCTATTGGAGATGACTATGATTAAGTAGTATATAAATTGTTGAAATCATCATCAACAACAACAACTTTGGTAGCCAGCACTTCTTCAGAAGTGAATTGCACAGTTTAATCCAATGCTGTGCAAAGACAATAGCAGACAATGTTGGGAGTGAGGGGGGAAGAGTGTGCTTAACATGACAAAGATCCCATGTCGAACTCCAGGTTAAGGCATCAGGACTGAAAAAGGTTTCAGAATATCATTGTTAGCAGCACTAGTCAAGATGGGCCAGTGGTGTAACTCAGTTATCAGATAGCTTCGTATGAGCAAGACTAGCAGAGGTTACTTAGCCGGGAGAATAGGATGGGTGCCTTACAATATATCTGTGACCTTTAAAACTACGCTTTAGCCTTACTCTCCTCTTCTCTCTCTCTCCCCCACTACAATTGAGAAGGTGGCTCTCAGAATAATTAGCTAAGATCTTTGACTTTCTTCTCCAGCTGCTTTGCAAGAGCTCATTAAGCATTATTTACAGGGCCACAGGTAATGTGTCTCCTCTGATCTGATTAGCAGCCAAGCACAAACCACTGTCACGAATCAGTAATCTGTTGTGGCTTGAAGGACAGTTTAGGGGAAAGAGCAACGTCTCCAAGATACCACTTACTGTCCTGAATTGCAAGAGTCTGTAAGGAGGAGGAAAGGAGGAGAAAGGACCATCACAACCAGAATTACATCCCGTTGGTCAATCTAGCACAGCTGTAGGGACATAGGAAGCTGCTAGCAAGGGCGGGATCTATCTAGACCAGTCCACACTTAGGGTAGCCCACATAGTATCCTCTATATGTTGTTGGGCTCCAGCTCCCATCATCCCCAGTCAACATAATAACAATAATAACAATAATTTATTATTTGTATCTCACCCATCTGGCTGGGTCTCCCCAGCCACTCTGGGAGGCTTCCAACAAAGATTAAAAATACATTAAAATGTCACACATTAAAAACTTCCCTAAACAAGGCTGCCTTCAGATGTCTTCTAAATGTCAGGTAGTTGTTTATCTCTTTGACATCTGATGGCAGGGCGTTCCACAGGGCAGGCGCCACTACCGAGAAGGCCCTCTGCCTGGTTCCCTGTAGCTTTGCTTCTCGCAATGTGGGAACCGCCAGAAGGCCCTTGGCGCTGGTTCTCAGTGTCTGGGCAGAACGATGGGGGTGGAGACGTTCCTTCAGGTATACTGGGAGTTTAATGGCCAGAGATGATGGGAGTTGCCATGCAGTAGTACTACGGGGAGTCAGTCTTGTTTAGACTGACTGACAGTAGCTCTTCAGGACTGCAGGCAGGGATCTCTTCAAGCCCTATCTGTTCTTTCACCTGAAACATTCTGCATGTAAACCACTGAGCTGCATCCCTTTCTCCTGCTACTCTGAGGAGCAATAGTCTCCCAGGATCTCAAACAGAATTCCTTCTCAGCTCTAACATATGTGGCAGGGGTGGCAACCATTCGCAAGGGATCTTTTATAGTAGATTCATTCAGGCTTTAGCCAATCTATGCTTCAGTGTTATCTGTGGTCACAACTGGAAGATGACATCAGAGTTGGGGTACAGTCCCCATAATCCTGAGCTATTAGCTATGCTTGCTGGGGTTGAGAGGAGATGGAACCCAACAACAGCTGGAAGGCCACAGGAGCCCCACTCCTGACTTTAAATCACCACCATCCTCACTGAATGCTTCAGTGTTGTTTTTTCACACCCCTCCCCTTAATCTCATTGACTGAGTCAACCAGGCTCAGTTAATTTATTTTGCAGAGAGTACCCTCGGATATAAAACCCCACACTGGATATCACCAAACTTCGGATGCTTCTGGCTGGAACCTTTGGCTGGGAATGTTGTCGTTATTATAGTCCAGGACAGAGAACCTATACCCTCCAGGTTGTCGGATGCAAAATCCCATCATCCCTGACCATTGGCAATGCTGGCTTGGACTCCAGGGCAAAGCAGGGCAGGCAGATCACTGCACATCAAGGTCACCATCTTATGTCCATGGCGTTAGCTCAGAATCTAGTGGATCTTGAGCTTGTTCAACCCCTTGCCAGAATGCTCTGTTTCAAGAGTTTCCATGGACTCTTGCTGCTGGGGAACCAGCCAGTGGCACTTCCATCGGCCTACATGTTAGGGCAGGTGGAAGGAGGAGCTCCACATTAGTGAAGTGATGGTGGCATCATTTCAAAGACAGAGGTCAGCAGAAATGGATGGAAGGGCACCTTGGCCCAATCCACCACCACCAACCAAGCCCAGCACAAAGATAGTTTGGATTGCACCCTAAACCGAACATTTCAAACTAAGATCATGTTAGGTATCAGTTGTCCCACTGCCTTTGCATTCATTGACCGCTGAGGAGAGTGATTCCATCCACAACTTTCCTTATATTATCACAAGGACCAGAAACACGCATCAGCAAAAAAAGAGAAGAAAAAACAGAATATGGCTGGGCTTAAAGGTTCCTAGTTCAGATTATTTGGGTTCACAGAATGTGTGGGCCACAATTCCCAGCACCCTTGGCAAATTACAGTTCTGGTGAATTTTTTAAAGGGGTGCCTTATAAATGTATAGGGTATATGCAGTCAAAGTTTTAAAAAAGAAACAAACAAACAAAATCACAGCTTTTCCACCTGAGGCCCCCCTGAAAAATGTGGTGAATACCTGCAAAAATATCACTGAAATTGCCCTTTTACTCCATGTGAACAGGGCAGTGAATTCAGGGTGGGGAATTTTCAATCAATGCTACAAAACTTCAGGAAAAGGTCATGGAACATCCCAGAGAGAGAATGGAATGGAGATCAGAGGAACTGACGCCAGTAAGTCCAACTCCTTTCTTCCCTTACCTTGTAAGTGGAGTTTGCTCTCAGCGCTTTGCAGAAGGACAGAACTCACAGAGTCCAGATTGTCGTAACTGTTACAGCCCAATGGGCCCGTCCGTGTTTCGGTTACCTAAAGCAGCAGAGATTTTAAAAAGAAAGCAAGCAAAATCATTTCCTTTGTCAACGGTATGTAAAGACTAGGGAATGGTATGTAAGTAGAGCCTATTGGATCAGAACAGAAGGCCCATATGGTCTACCACTCTGTTCTCATGATGGCCAAATGCATACCTAATGGAAGTCCTCATGCATTACTTGAGGGCAAGTGTTGTCTCCGCATTTGTGATTCTAAGAAACTTGTATTCAGAGGCATTTAGTGCCTCCAGTTGTGAAGGGAGAGCCTTGCCATGGTGGCTTGTACCCATCAATATTTTTTTTTTTACTCAAATAATTTGCCTTATCTTCTTTTAAATCCTTCCAAGTTGGTGGCTATCACTGCCACGTGTAGGAGAGGATGCCACAGTTTAACTCTGCTCTCTGTGAAGTTCTTTCATTTAAGAGTCCTAAATTTCACAAAATTCATTCAGCTCATGTTATATGAGAGGGAGGAAAACTTTTTTCCTGTCCACTTTCTACACACCATGAATTTCTCTATGAGGGGGTCATGTTTCCAGAATCCCCTGGGGAATTCCTCTTCCCCATTGCTTCCACACTTGAGGAGGAGCTTAAAGTGATGAGAGTAGTCAGAACAGCTGTTGAGGAGGAACCCTCAAAGTGTGCCCTGGCAGCTAGCTAGCGGAGAATGTTGTATAGCACTTGCATGTTGGGAGCCAATGTAACTGAGTGCTTTGCCAGCAAAGAATTAAAACCCAGTCACTTGTCCTTGTTGGTCCAGGTCTGGGTTGGTCTGGGTGTAGGTTGGGATGCTCACAGGGTTGTTGTGGAGAATAAATGAGAAGGTAGAGAACCATGTGCACCACCTTGAACTTCTCAGAGAAAAGGTAGGATATAAATGCAATAAAATTGAAAAGTAACTTCCAGTGGTGGTGGGGGGTGTTTTTTTGGGGGGAGGGGAGAATTGCAGCCTGTAATAGCTTAATTAGACCTTTGCTTGGGGAATGTGACTTCTTTTCTCCCCGCCCCCCTGCTCCATTCATCCAGTATCAGTAGATTGCTTTCACAGATTGAAAAGGTCTTTGTCTGAAGGCCCATTTCTGCTTCCTTTGTCAGCTCCCCTCCGCTGCTACTCTCCCGTGCCTTGTTCTGCATCCCTGACCACCTGTATCTGGAAAAGTATTGTCCAGTCCTATTGTCAGCTCTTGTTGCTGATACACCTGAGAGCCTGTGAAAAGACTTCCAAGCTAAACTGTGCAGCATAAAAGGCTGGACAGAAACAACAGTTACCATTGTGTGAGCTCCTCTCTCTCTGTGTGTGTGCAAAGACGCTCCTCTCCACCTCCTATTGCTTTAGCAGCTTCTGTGGTGATTTGCCTGGTTGGGTTTTGTGAGGTGTTGACTAGAGCTGAACTTGACATACTCAGAAGCTGCAGGGGCTGGTTCGTTAGGGCAGATAGGGCACTGCCAACTAGTCCACGCCTGCCTGCCTGCTTACAACCAAACCAGGGGGAGGGGGTAGGGTGGCACCTCCTTGTCCCCCTAAATCCCTTGTGGAACTCAGCAAGAACGAGGATGGGGACAAAAGGTGAATTAGTTGGCTCTGCCTATCAGTGACTCTGGTTCCACCAACTGTTGCCCTTCCTGCCTTCTGCTCTTCCATACCCTATGGGCAACAGCCAGCGGGTTTTTTTCCTGGGGGTACTCAAGGGTATGCATTACCAGCACATTTTTTAAAAAGGCTAAAAGTGTGACAGGGATCCCCAAGTGACATCTAGTCCAACCCCCTGAAATGCAGTCATCACATCTGAATTCCTGGCAGATGGCCGTCGAACCTCTGTTTCAAAACCTCCAATAAATAAGAGCCCATCATTTTCTGGGGTAGTCCATTCCACTGCCGAGCAGCTCTTACTGTCAGCCAGTTCTTCCTAATGTATAGTTAGAATTTCCTTTCTCATCATTTGAATCCATTGGTCTGAGTCGTACCCTCCGGAGAAAGAGAAAACAAGCCTACTCCATCTTCAGCATGACAGCCCTTTAGGTATTTGAAGAGGACTATCATATCCCCTCTCAATCTCCTCTCCTCCAGGCTATACATACCCAACTCCTCAACCATTCTTCATAAGGCTTTGTTTCCTTCTGAGAAGAAAACTGTTGGCTTAACTTTTGTGGGTTTAGGCACCTGTGTCTGCAGGGGCTGATTTTTGGGAGGAAGCAAACTGCTTTAAAAATAGAAAGAAAAGAAAATGGGTGTTGTGTTCTAATTGGCGATGATAGTGGCAACAGTTCCTTTTTTCCTTATTCTTATTTTTGCCTTGCCTGTGGTGGTGGTGGTGGAGCTTCTCAAGACTCCTACCTACTCCTTCCAAATGTTTTGAACTGGTGCTGCACAGCAACCCTTTGGAAGGACAGCATTTGGAACAAACACATCATCACCACCACCACCAGCAACACCTTATGTCCAAAGGAGTGGGCATCTTCCACCCACCTCCTCCTAACACTTTCATTGGTCAACTCTGCTTTTTTGTTTATTATGCACAATAAAACCCTTTCCCTCAATTTCTCATTTTTCCAATCTCAAGTTCAGCTATTTACATTTCTGCACCAGTTCCCAATTCTTTATATATGAAAAGTCCTCATGACATTTCATCAGCAACATAACATGTACTGACCTGGACCCTGGACATTATCTAAAGCCCTTCTTCTTAATGCCTCCTCCACGAGAGGGTGACAACATGAGAACAAGCCTTTTCTGTGGTGGCTTCCTCTTTGTGGAATGCTGTCCCTAGGGGGGGGGGGCTCACCTGGCATCTAAAGTTATGTAATATTCCACTTCTCCCAGGCCTTTGGATAATTAAATAATCTATGGTTTTTAAAAAAAAATTTTGGGGGGGGATTTTGTTTTGTTGCTGCTGCGGCGGTTGTTTTATATATTTTGTGTTTCTATACAGTGAACCGACCTGTGATCTTTGGATGAAGGGTGATATATGAATTTAATTAATAAAAATCATGCACATTTCTCCTTGCATTCAAATTATAATGTATATGCACACTTTCTAATAGCTAATACATTTTTTTGCACATATTATTTAGTTAGGGAAGTGCATCACAAATTTAAGAGAAGAAAGAATTTCAAAGGATGTATGTATTTAAAATCATTTATCATTTGAGGAAGAGAAAATTAAGTAATTTCAGCTTTAAAGACAAACTGAATCAAAATTCTCCCCAATCCTTACCTGCAACAAAATGCCTCCTAAATGCTGTGATGCTGTCCCTTTCCATCACAACATCAGTACCCTCACTCTCTTTAAATCCAGTTTCCTCAGGCTCAGTGAACACATGCAACCAAAGCCATACCTTGATTGCTCCGGTAGAGATCTGGATCTCATGAAGGCGCCTCATAGTTCCATCCCGGTCCAAGAAATAGGAGGAGGCGAGCTGGTGAAGGGACTCGACACTTTGAGACGCATTGCCCGACTTTCGATCGAGTCGGCTTTTATCCATGTACATGGTCAAAGCCTCCTCTCCTAGCAGGGAAAAGAAGAAAGCATGAATGCGAGGAAGAGGAAGGAGAGGGGGAGGGGGAGGAGGAAGGAGAAGGAAGAGGTTGGTGAGAAGGAGAAGAATCACGTTGATGATAAGGAGAAGGTGTAAAAATGTTACCACATCACTGACACCCAAAGTATGAAAAAGAACCATAAGGAAAGCTTCACATCTCAGTGCAAATCTGCCATTTTACATTCTCTTCATCGATGTTGTTTTAAACCATAAGCAATGAAAGCATCATTTCGGACACTAGGAAGAATCTAGGGTGATGTGGAAAGTGCATGGGATTTTGTGAAACCTGACGAAGGACACATGGAGGATCTCTGCTTCTCTTTAAAAAGTAAAGGCTTCTAGTATTTATATGTGCTTGACAACATTGACGCAGTGTCTGCAGAACAATGGCACAATTAGGGCTAGGAGTGTTGTCTTGGCAACACACACACACAAACACACACACACACAGAGATTTTTTTCCAAACTTAAGTTATACATATGCACGCCTATTTCCTCATATAGTTCTGATGCCAAGTGTACCCCAAACCATCCCAGGTCAGATCAGGGCTGCTCTGAAGCACCAAATCAGGTCCTAAATCAAATGGAGGGGGGAGGCGACATGCACAGAGCTACTATGGAGTAGCAGTAACTGGGATGAAAGAAGTGGTGTCACAATTGTGAGCATGCCCATTTTCACCTGCAAAAAGCATGGGTGGATATGTTCGAGGAAGGGAGGAAAAGAGCAACACATCACCTCCCTGGAAAGAGCCAGCAACAGTAATCAAGAAGGGTTAATAGATTTTTTCTGCATTATTAAGTCCTAATTTCTCATTTATTAAGCAGACGCAGTGTTCAAAGTCATCTTCCCTTCAGGGCATTCCCTGAAAATTAGCTTTCAGCTCTGCCCACTCCATCCTCAAGCAGATGCATTCCAAGGAACTGCCTAGCACATTCTCTCTTCTACTTCTTTTATAGAAACAAAAAGAGGACAGGGCTTTTTACTGGCACTGGGACAAAGGGATTGACACTGGGACAGATCAGAATTAGGCTGGGAGGGCCAGACATGCTGCAACAAATGAGACCTCCCTAATCTTGTTGCACACTTTCCGCTTCTGGGAAGCCTTTGTTGCTGCCAATAAAGAGGTTTCCTTGATATGCAAGTAGCAGCCTTAGAGTGGTGATATTTGCCATGACCATGGAACTTAAAGAACAATTTGAAGACTTCTGCAATTAAGAGCTAGTGTTTTAAGATGCTTCCAGGTGTCCTGTTTATTGAACTTTCATCCATTCAAGGAGATTAGATGGTGTTGGCGATTTAATTACTTTTCTTTCTTATCTGTATACAGGGAGGTTGGATGATGTTGCATCAAAGCAAGTGTTGTCCCACACTTCTCAGTGCATTTTCTAGCTGCTCTCCTTATCCCCAGAAGTCTAATCTTTTGGAAAAGTATGGTTGTTGCACAAGACCTCCCAATCACCTATAATTGTGCAACTTGGATTTGTGATTAAATCCCATTTTGTGATTAAATACCACTTGAAAATAGCAACAGGCTGGAAGAGACCTTAGTGTGGTTGTTTTTCCTTCTCCCTCCCAATCTCCCCTTCCTTTTCTGTCATGTCTTTTAGAGCATGAGCCTAAATGCCGCGACCATATTATTACTGATTCTTCTAAGCTACTAAGGGAGTCTTATTTTGGCTGAAAAATGACCCTCTACACACACACATCCATGGTCCCGTGGTTGCTCAGGCTTCCCCTCAGCCACTATCTGCACAAGGAAAGAAAAAAGCACATTAATTGCATCCACACAATTAACACAAGCTCTAATTTAGTCCATTGGTCTACATCAGGGACTGGACTCTGGGTGTTTCCAGAACTCAGGTGTGAAGCAGGTGGCAACAGAGGATAAGACCATGACTGTGCACATTTCTACATTCCTTGATTTTCTGATTAGGTTTGAGCCCCACCAGAAGACCAGGAGAACCAGGCTTACCATCAAGTTATGACATGCATACACAAAGATGCTGTCACAGATCAAACACTGGAGGGTTATCTCAGCTCATATCAGCCCAAACAGATGTCCAGTGTTGGCGCTCCATACATTCTCTTGAGAACTGACATCATCATCAGCATAAATATTATTATTATTTATTATTTTTTATAAAGCCCTTCATCTGAAAATCACAGGGCAGTTTACAATACCCCCCCAATACCAGACCATAGTAATGAACAATAACAATACACCCCCTCCCGCCTCTGCCCATAGTTTAAAGGTCCTAGATTATTTAGTTAGCCAAAGGTCTGGGGGAAGAAGAATATTACAGAACTTTAGATGTCAGGTGAGGCTCCCTTGGGAGAACATTCCACAAACAGGAAACCACCACAGAAAAGGCCTGTTCTAATGTTGTGCTCTCCAGACCTTATGCAGAGGAAGCACACGAAGAAGGGCCTCTGATGATGATTGGAGGGTCCAGGTTGGGGAGAAGGAGAGCCCTTGAGGTATTGTGGTCCTGAGCTGTTTAAGGTTTTATAGGTCAAAACCAGCACTTTGAATTGGGCCTGGAACCTAATTAAGCAGACAGTGCTGTCAGGCCAGGATTGGATTTGTATGCTCTTTATTGTCCTGGCGAGCAACCAGGCTGCTGAATTCTGCACCATCTCTAGTTTCTGGACAGTCTTCAGAGGCAGTCCTACATGCAACATGTTGCTGTAATCTAACCTAGAGCTGTTAGACTTGCATAGGCATCTGGTCTACTCATGTAACAGAATGAGGTGCTGGAGTCCTGATATGGAGAATGTGAACATATAAGACAGAGAAGGGGAAGCTGTGCTATTCTTTAACTACAACTCCTATCATCCTATTCTGCCTTAGTCAGACCACACCTGGAATACTGTGTTCAATTCTGGGCACCACAATTTAAGAAGGATGTTGACAAGTTGGAACGGGTGCAGAGGAGGGCAACCAAGATGATCAAGGGTTTGTTAACTAAGCCTTACGAGAAGTGCTTGAAGGAGCTGGGTATGCTTAACCTGGAAAAGAGGAGACTGAGAGGAGATATGATAGCCACCTTCAACTATATTAAGGGCTGTCACATGGAGGAGGGAGCTTGTTTTCTCCTGCTCTGAAGGGTAGGACTCGAACCAATGGCTTCAAGTTTCAAGAAATGGGATTCTGACTAAACATTCGGAAAAACTTTCTGAAAGTAAGAGCTGTTCAGCAGTGGCGCAAACTCCTATGAGAGATGGTGGACTCTCTTTCCTTGGAGGTTTTTAAACAGAGGATGGATGGCCATCTACCGTGGACTCTTTAGCTGAAATTCTTGCATTGCAGGGGGTTGGACTAGATGTCCCTTGGGGTCCCTTCCAACTCTAAGATTCTATGACCCCTGACCGTTGACCATGCTTCCTGTGGCTGCTTAGCATTAGAGTCCAACAATATCTGAAGCATATTAGAATGGGCAAAAGTGCTCTTGAAAGTGTATCACTTTTGCATTCTGCCTTCCCACCCCAATTTTATCTGGTTATCAAGATAGACAGATGACTCCCTGCTTCAGAAACCAGTTTAGGGCAAGCTATTTCACTGATGAGTTTCAGAGAGATGAGATGTCAGTCATAGGTAATGGTGTGTTGATCTGCAGGTCCTCAGTGATCCTCAGTGTGATAAATTAGATCTGAGCTAAAACTCACCCCTAGGTTGAGCTCAGTGGTAGAGCCTCAGCATCTCTAGGAAGGGCTGTCCTGAAATCTTAGAGAGCCTCTGTCAGTCAGTGTAGACAATACCAAGCTAGAAGGACCAATGGTATGACTCATAAGGCCACTTCTTACGTTTCTACATTTGTACTTTTGCAAATCTTGGTATTTCCACTAGTCGGAGGATACCACCCTCTTCCATCTGAATGTTACTGTTTTGGTCGCAACTGTGGACACCATTTTGATGCAAAGGCAGCAAAACATTGAGAGATTGCTCACTGTAGAGCTTAGAGACTTAGTTCTTATCTCTGAGGGGACTGTCTTTTCGGTAGCACTTAAGAACACTAAAAGATCTCTGTTGGATCAGACCTAAGGTCTGTCTCAGGTGTGGTGACCGTTTTCAGCCCAAGGCCCACATTTCCTCCAGGGCAAGCTTCCTGACAGTGGTGGGTGGGACCATAGACAAAAAGTAGGTGGAACAAATAATGCACCTACATTTGGCTAGTTCTCTCTCTCCTCCCCCCACCCCCACCCCACCCTGACAAGCAAGAACACATCCCAGGCAGGGGAAAATGTTCAAGAAGGCTACAAAGCAGGGCTGGCAGCCAGTGTGGCCTAGGAAAACGGTGTGTGGACTGGGGAAGACCCAAAGGACAGACAGAAAGGCTTAGAGGGCTGTATTTGGCTCCTGTTCCTCACCACATCCTATCTAGCCCAGCACTCTGTTCCCACAGTGGACAGCCAGATGCCTTTGGGAAGCCCCCCAAGTAGGACACAAGCACAATGGTTGCCCCCCTCTTGTAATTCTCAGCAGCCAGTACTCAGAAACATGGAGACACTGTATAGTCATCATTGCTAGTAGCCACTGAATTTGTGAATTTGTTTAATCCCCTTTTAAAACTGCACTATGGGATTTGCTTTAAGGTGTGTGAAGAAGTACTTCCTTTTACCTGTCTTGTTCTCTTACTGTTCCAATTCATTGCATGACTTTGTTTCTAGCATTATGTGAAAGGGAGAAAATCCTCTACGCCTATCCACTTGCTCCACCCCATGCAAATTTTATACACTAGTTCCCCTCCCTTTGTCTTTATACATGTCTCCCCACCTTAATCACCTTTCTTCTGAGCTAAAATGTCCCAAATGTCATAACATTTATTCATAAGAGAGTTTCTCTAATCATTTGATCAGTTGTACTATTGTACTCCAGTGGTGAACAAAAGTGTTTTCAGTTTTCCAAGTGTGGTTGCATCATACAACATGTGGTTGCATGCAGGTGAGGATTTCTATGGTGCTATGCTCTTCCAAATCCACCCCCCTCACCCCTCCACACACACAAAAAAAGAATCAACACAGAAAAGTTTCATGTTGGGTAAAAGTGTTCAAAGTCTGCACTTCTCTTTGACATGATGAACAGTAATAACATGTTGGACCTATATAGTGTTTACAAAAAATAATTACTCACTGAGTATATTCCAACATCCCAAACAACATCCCACACCCCCACCACCAAAAAACCCCACTCTGTACATAGAAAGCCAATAGGTCAGGGAACATGCTAGGTGTGAACCTTTATAATGGGCAAATGGTTTTCAATTTTCAATAGTTTCTTTATTCATCACATTATATCCAACCTTTCATCCAAGATGGCATACATGGCTCAACCCCCATTTTATCCTCAGAACGACCCGATGAAGTAGGTTAGGCTGAGTGGTTCAAGGTCCACCAGTGAGTTCCCCAGCCAAGCGGCGACTTGAACCTGGATCTTCCTGGACAGCACCAGCATAGCACAATGGTCTGTACACCAATGAGGGCAATGAGACACAGAGGAGCACTCAACCACCCAACTCCCCATGTTACACCCTAACAAAGGATGGCACAAGACTTACGACTTGAGAAAGAAAGAATAATGTGCACACTTAGGGCTTCATTAGTACCCATCAGTACTAAGAAGCTGGCACTGAAATGCCTTCCAGTGTTGTGGTTTTCAAGCTCTTTGGGGGTAAGTACGTTGTCTGCATTATCCCAATGAGAAAGAGGAGCTATCAAATGTCAAGAGATGATAGGCTGTATGAATATTCTGGTTGAATCGGGGAAGAGTGTGTGTGTGCGCGCGCGTGAACCTGAAGTCTCCAAATAGGAAAATACTTCTGCTCATAAACAATGCATGCTCCCCAGAGGGTCCCTTTGCCTCATCCTCCTCTTTACTGCCATCAAGACGAATCTTTCATTCCTCTTGCGCCTTTCCCTGGCGGCTCTCCCTCCCCATGCGCTCTGTGCTGGGGGCTGATGGAACGCTTAGCTCCGCTGTCCATCGCCAGCTCTCGTTACAAGCCTGTGCATATTTTAAAGTGTTGTGTCATAAAATCAGGAGCACGAACAAGCCAAGGTGAATAATTCACCATCGCGCCTGAACAAAATTAAAAATATATTTCACCGTCAAAAGGTCTGTGTTATTTGGAATTTCCAGGGAGATAAAAAGAAAAGGGGGAAAAAAGGAAAAGGAAATAAAATTGGCTGGTTGTAGGAGGTGAAATGAAGAAGCAAACCCTAGTCCCTCCCTCATGTAAATTCAAGGCACGCAGTCAGATCATCTGCTTGTTTGTTCAGAAAAGTGCCACTGTGTTCAGTGCAGTTTAATCTCAGGCAAGTGTGAACTGAATTGAAGCCTGAAGCAACCATCTAAACAATAGGGATAGGGAACCTCAGGCTTCTCTGTTTACCCTTCAGGACTCTCCACAGGCCACACCTGCTTCCCACAGGCCACACCCTTGAGTGCTTTTGCATGGCTGGAATGTGCCCTTGTGCTGCAATAGTGCCTCTTGCTTGCATGAATGGAGAGGGGTGTTTCTATGTGTGAAGAAATCTCTGGGTTGTGCATGGCTGGAATATAACTTCATGTTCAAAGTTAAGAGTCAGATTCATTGTTCTGCTTGTTTTTGCATCTGGCCCTTGCCAACAGCAGCATGAGGGCTCCTCAAAAGGCTGCACATATGTGAATACGGCCCTCGGTCTAAGCAAGGTTCCCCAGCCTTGTTATACATGTTTACCTGGAAGTAAGTCCCATTGAACTCAACAGAGATTACTTCTGAGTAGATGTGCACAGGATGAGCTGGCTGGAGTGAGACAAACCACTTAAGGACATAAGAACAACCTGCTTGATAAGGTCACCTAGTGAAGCATATTGTTCCCACAATGACCACACAGTTGCCTGTGGGAAGTCAATAAGCAAGACTTGAGCACAATGGCCCTTTCCTCTTCTGTGGTTTGCAGCAACTGGTATTCAGAAGTATCAATATCTCTCAGCAAAGCGGCACATCAATCAATAGCCTTCTCTTCCATGAATCCATCTAATCTCTTTTAAAGCCATTTGAGTTGGTGGCTACCACTATCTCCTGCAGGAGTGAGTTCCATAGTTTAACTATGCTCTGAGTTGATGAAGTACTTTCTTTCTGCCTGTCCTGAATCTTCCAGAATCCAGTGTTATAAGAGAAGCAGAAAAACCTTTTTCTGCCTACTTTCTCCATGCCATGCATAATTTTAAAAAACTTCTAGCATGTCACTTCTAACCCACATTTTCTCTAAATGAAAAGCCTTGTAGGACACTGCAGAATTCCCATGGTGCTGAGCAGTAGCCTCCTATAACTGCTTGCTGCAAATGGCCCTGGGTGTGGAAGAAGAAGCACACTGAAGCCAACACCCACCTCCCTGAGATGCTCCAGAAGGATACTGTGGTCAACAACATCAAAAGCCATTGAGAAATTGAAAATGAGCAGGGTTATACTCTCACCTCTCTCTCTCTTAATAAATGTCACTGACACGGGTGACAAAGACAGCTAACTGGGGATGCAATGGTGACAGAGAAGTAGGCTTGCTTTCCTGCCAACACTGCCACGTGGCAGACACGGTGAAGCAGCCTCACTCATGTTTGTCAGGTTTAGACAGGGTCCTATACCACCTGCACTCTACTACCAACCCTCCTGCTTCATGGCATGCTGGTCACAGGAATATCAAGGAGACCTATGTGCTCCACAGCAATGATGAGTGCACTCAGGAGCAATTGTGTCAATGACTCCACACATTTCACCATTCCACAGTGAGACAAGAGACTCAACAAGAGTGTCAGCCATGTCAGCTGAAAAATCCCCCAGAGCATTCAGGATTCCACCAGTCTTCTAGGGCAGACCAACTCAGTGGGTCCCCCAACCTTGAATATGGGTTTTTTTAAAACAAACAAACAAACAAACAAACAACAGTATTCACATAAAAATTAATCATAAATGCAGTTTTCCCTGCTTATGGACACATTTGTGTATAAAGTTTTGACTACTATATACATTTTTTATTTTTTATTTTGCTAGTAACATTCCTTTCTGTTCGTTATTTTCACTAATTATACACACTTTCCTTTAATAGACACATCATTTGGTTGGAAAACTGAGCTGCAAAGCCTGGGGCAGTGTGAATTTCATAGGATACCTGTGTTTTGTTTTGTGCATATGTTGAGGAAATGCAAAATCAGCTAAGTTCACTTTGGAATGAAAACACAACCAATATCCTCCCCCACCCTTGCTCACCAACCTCCTACCCCAAACCCTTGTGGGAAAGGTACAAACCTCACTGCCACCTACCTCCCAAAGTAGCAGAGATGAGTATGTGTGTGCCGTACTTTTTGATGATGGTATCAATGAACTGCTGTGTCGTGGGCCTCCTGCCCAGCAGGCGGATGCTCCTCTGGAACTCAGGCATCAGGGGGACGGGATTGCGGAGCAGGTCTCTCCGCTCGATGGCTGTGTTCCTCACCTTCCAACGGGCAAATTCCCTAAGCGACAACACAGGAACACAACAAAGGTGAGGTTCCAAGTCCAGGCAGGAAAGGCAGACCACTGGGGAAATGGCTTGTGGAGGAACACAAAGGGGAAATATTGTGCAACTTCACCGCATCTTACGCCACTGGAGAGATACACAGGCACATTTCCAGGGCTAGAGCTAAAAGGTTTGAGGGCTGGAGAAAGGGGAGGCAGAAGAAGGAGAGGAGGAGAGGAGAAGGAAAGATATTATTTTGATATGTATTGATTCATCCCATAGTAAGAACCAGACATCCCCTAGATGTGGAGGAAACCATTCACTTGACAGAATGAAACCGAACATTGCGCAAGGGGTGAGAGGTTGAATCTAGGATTTTTCAACCAAGGAATGTGAGTTTTCTGAGCAGTGCTCTGTGCCTGTATTTCAGGGACTACACTTGATCCGAGGAACCTGCAGTTCTCCAAATGTTGTTGGATTCCAACACTCATCAGCCACTAGCCAGCATAGCCAATGGTTATGGATGATGGGGGTTGGAGTCGAGACATACTGAAAATTATGGATATGATTAACTTAGGCCCTGTAGTTTCAATGGGTCTACTTGGAGTAGAATAAAGTTGGCTACAACCCCCTCCCCCCCAAAAAAAATCTGGAGGACCACAGGTTCCCTATCCATGGACTATACCATTTCACAGTCTTTGAGAAACAGTTTTCAAGTTTGTTTGTACAGCTCTGTCTGAGTATTGATTAGTGTTCCATGGGTGAACTGACTGGTCACAGATGAACAAAATCTCATTCCAGACTATAGGTTGGATAAGAACTTTCCAAGGAAACAGCATTAGATTTGTGATACCCCAAAACATTTTGTATCCTGAACCAGACCCATACGGATTTTGATAACTTAACCACTGGCAATAGGCAGGCGTTACAAGGGAATTCACATAAAGTCCATGATAGTGATATGAATCCCAGTGCCCTCATTCTGCAGCAGTGAATGCCAAGTTTTGCAAGAAGGTCACACCTTCCTGAGTCCTCTGAATGAAGACGGACAAGTGAACTAATCTATAGATGGTATCCCAAGGCACAGAGTGGGCAACATCACTTTTTCATTTGTCTTTCTCCTAATGACAACCCTGTCAAGCAGGTCTTAGTTATTCTCATTTTTAGAATGGCCACTTGCCCAAAGCCCTTCAGTGACACAATGGCTTGTTGCCCATCTAGACTGAGTTCCATATTCTATCCTCTCTGCCTATTATCTAAACTGGCAGATTTATTTTTAGAGAAGTTAAAATATTTGGGAAGATTAATGCTGAATCAACCATTACAAACTGTATATAAAAATAATCAGTGTCGCTTGAAATGCCTATTGAAATCACAGTTCACTGCCATCTCCCTGCTCCCAGTACTTCAGCTATGTGCTTTGGTGTCAATAATAATTCAAAAAGATACAAGGCTAGATTTTATATACGGTATGTGTGTGTTCTGCCCCTAACAAAGGAATAATAGCATCCATTCATACATGTGCTGCAGACAGGTGTGTTAAGTACTGTGGGTTGTATCTGTTAGTCCTACTGGGGAAACACCCTTTGAAATCAATATACATGATCAATTTACTTCTATTAATTTCATTGGGTCCACTTTCAGAAGCACTAACAATGAACACAAACTTATATATTTTCCTAAAAGGAAGTGAGCGAGCCCCTACCCAACACCCCAAAAGCCAGTTCAGTCCCTCTTTCCTCTGATTAGACCACTCCAGTGAAGTAAAGTCAATTCCACATACAAATTTTAAACAAAACGAACACTGGAAATCTAAACAAGGCTGCACACTTCTGACTATGCATGTTAATTTGAATGATGATTCATGAAAGTCAATCTGTTTGACTTCACAGAAAATTGGAGGAGGGGGTGTTCCCTGCAAGAAAATATTTTAATTTTCTCTTTCAAAAGTTCAACATGTGAGATAAAGCTTTCCACTTCCCAAAAATGCACACTGGCCCTTCTCTGCCCTTCCCTAGTTGTTTTCATTTCCCAGTACCACTCCTCCTCCTCTGCTCCCCCTCCACTCCCTCAAAAAGGAAAAAAATAACCCACCTAAAATCATGTGGTTCTTCCTTTGGGTGCTGGGAAAAAAGTAGCCACTTTAATTCACCCTGGAGGCATAAAACAGCACACTTTTTCTTTCTGTTACATATAAACATAGGGAGAAACCTTTTACTGAGCCATACCTTCAGTTCATCTAGAGCAGAAGCTTTCAACCTTTTTGAGTCCACAGCTCCCTTGACCAACTACATTCTTTCTGCAGCTCCCCTGTGGGGCTCAGGAGCCCAGTTATGTCACCCCTTGCCTGCAGAGCTGGCAGCCCTACACCCTTTTTTGAACACCCACTCAGCCTCCTCTCCTTGGGAGTCCTCCGGGTAGCTGCTGCTGCTACCCCTGGACTTGTCTGTCCATTCCCAGCAGCAAGGGCTGGGGGATTGGCAGGCTGGGCTCCCTTGCCTGCTTGCTTGCTTACTCCGAGGCCGCCTCAGCTCCTGGCAACCAGCACCCCCTGGCCAGCTGCAGAGGTACCATTTGCCTGTGGAGCTTGTAGCCAGGGCTGCTGCAACAAACAGCTGTATGAGCCTTTGGGAGGCAGAGACATGAGAGGGCATCAGAAGAAGGAGGGAAGGAAAGAGGGGCAGGCCAGTGTTTCCCACAGCACCCATGACCATCTTTCAAGGTACCCCATGGTGCCACGGCACACTGGTTGAATCCTGCTCTAAAGGATTGAACCTGGGACCTTCTGCATGCAAAACAGGTTGCCCAACACATGAGCTACAGCCCTTTCCCTAAGGTTGGGCATTTGCTGTGGGTGGCAAGGAAAATCCGACTACAAATAAAAAATATGCTGCCACAGCAAGTAAATGCAAATTGATTGTGACATGGCAAATATTTCACTGTTTTGCTTTGTCAGCATGCCCAGAAATAAGTGCAACAACAAGGAAGCAGGAGTTTGGGGAAGCAATTAGGTTTCGTGGGGAGTTTCCAGAAACTATCCCACCTTAGCATTGATTCATATTCCAGCAAGATGGTCAAGAACACCTGGCCCTTCTGAAGCCAATCAAAAAAGGAACTAAACAGCCACAAGGATCCAAGTTAAAACTGGATAGCTGCTGATTTCTTATATTATTACATGGGAGGTGGAAAAGGGTAATGAATGGAAGCAAAGCCTTATGAGGAATGGTTGAGGGAATTGGGTATATTTAACCTGGAAAAGAGGAGACTGAGAGGAGATATGATAGTCATCTTCAGATATCTTAAGGGCGGTCCCATGAAATATGGAGCAAGCTTGTTTTCTCTTGCTCTGGAGGGTGGGACTCAAACCAAAGGATTCAAGTTACAAGAAAGCAGATTCTGACTAAACTTCAGGAAGAACATTCTGATGGTAATAGCTCTTTGAAAGGGTAAGGGTCTCCCATGAGAGCTGATGGACTCTCCTTCCTTGGAGATTTTTAAGCAGAGGTTGGATGGCCATCTGTCGTGTATGATCTCCCCACTACGTCCTCCCCACTACAGCTCAGTTAGATGAGTATGGTGCTGATAAAACCAAGGTCACAGGTTTGATCCCCATATGGGACAGCTGCATATTGCCGCATTGCAGGGGGCTGAACTAGATGACCCTCTGGCACCTTCCAACTCTACAATGTTGCAGTTCGATGAATGTTTATAATGCATCATGCCTGGGTTGCCCATTTCCACTGATACTGGAACTGTGTGGCTTGGATTTAGTTCTAGGTTCAGGGTAGGGAAGATTTTCCAGCCTGAGGGCCACATTCCCTACTTGGCAAGCTTCCGGCAGAGACATGCCAGGGATGTGTGGGGGCAGAGGCAAAAGAATGGGAAGCCAAATAATGTAAATTTTGCCTTTTTCACAGTAAGCTACCTTCTACACTCACACATCCCTATCTGTCCGTATGAAGCAGGGTTGGTGAGGTGCTTCACATGGAGGAAGCCCCAGGGGGCGGACAGTGAGTCCCAGAGGGTGGATCTGTTCCACTCCATCAAGTATGAGATTTCCCTTCCTTGCTCTAGGGAAAGGCTGCTGAGTCAAGAAAATGGTAATCCAGCCTGGTTACAAAAGATAGACACAGGGTGGTCCAAGAAGGGGTTTCCCCAGCAACATCCAGAAAAGCTAAGAATTTGATAACTGCCATGCTGCTCAGGCCCACCCTGGTGCACTCACAAGATACATCCTGGTCACCCTTAAGTGAGAGGACTTTCTCAGACAGCAGTGCTAGCAACAGGCTTAGTTAGGCATGATTCTACCCAGTCAGGCTCAAGGTTCAAAAATGGGGCATTCCTTTAGGCTGCTAAGTAGAGGCTCCACAAAAGCATCTCCCCCTATGCAAGGGCCAAGGGTGCACTGGGATCCATACCAAGGTGCAAGGAATCTGGTAACTCAGTCACATCCTCTGAGAACTTCACTCTTGGGACTTGGTGGGGTGTCACAATTAGGTGGGGGAGAGGAATGGATGCTTCCTCTACTTCCGCTACCTCACTTGGCAGGACCTGAGTGTACAACACTCTGTCCCGCTTGTGATTCCCAGCAACTGGTATTCAGAAGGGTGCTGCCTCCAATAGTGGAGATAGAACATCGCTATCATGGCTAGTAGCACCCTATAGCCTTATCTTCATGACTTTGTCCACTCCTCCTTTTAAGCTATCCAGGATGACGGCCATCACAACACCTGGAGCCAGGTTTAGTCCTGCCACCGTAAGGTCTACTGGCACTGGAATAGATAAGAGTAGATGGAAACTCAAGAACTGCCTTTGCATTCCTCTTCCCATGCTCAGTATATCCTACAATCACACTGTGTGCACGGACTCAGCAGACTCTCCAGTTCAAAGAATACAACAGCAGGTTATGTGGGATGATCTCTTTCTGCTTTCGACTGCACAGAGCTATTGCCAGAGTGGAGGAAGAAGACAGGTACCCCTGACCTCTAGACATTGTTGGATTCCAATTCCCATTAG